AGCAAGGTTATGCTTAAAATTCTACAAGGCAGGCTTAAGCAGTATGTGGACCGAGAACTCCCAGAAGTGCAAGCTGGATTTAGAAGAGGCAGAGGAACCAGAGACCAAATTGCAAACATGCGCTGGATTACGGAGAAAGCTAGAGAGTTCCAGAAAGACATCTACTTCTGCTTCATTGACTATGCAAAAGCCTTTGACTGTGTCGACCACAGCAAACTATGGCAAGTTCTTAAAGAAATGGGAGTGCCTGATCACCTCATCTGTCTCCTGAGAAATCTCTATGTGGGACAAGAAGCTACAGTTAGAACTGGATATGGAACAACTGATTGGTTCAAAATTGGGAAAGGAGTACGACAAGGCTGTATATTGTCCCCCTGCTTATTTAACTTATATGCAGAATTCATCATGCGAAAGGCTGGGCTGGATGAATCCCAAGCCGGAATTAAGATTGCCGGAAGAAATATCAACAACCTCAGATATGCAGATGACACAACCTTGATGGCAGAAAGTGAGGAGGAATTAAAGAACCTTTTAATGAGGGTGAAAGAGGAGAGCGCAAAATATGGTCTGAAGCTCAACATCAAAAAAACGAAGATCATGGCCACTGGTCCCATCACCTCCTGGCAAATAGAAGGGGAAGAAATGGAGGCAGTGAGAGATTTTATTTTCTTGGGCTCCATGATCACTGCAGATGGTGACAGCAGTCACGAAATTAAAAGACGCCTGCTCCTTGGGAGAAAGGCGATGGCAAATCTAGACAACATCTTAAAAAGTAGAGACATCACCTTGCCAACAAAGGTCCGTATAGTTAAAGCCATGGTTTTCCCAGTAGTGATGTATGGAAGTGAGAGCTGGACCATAAAGAAGGCTGATCGCCAAAGAATTGATGCTTTTGAATTATGGTGCTGGAGGAGACTCTTGAGAGTCCCATGGACTGCAAGAAGATCAAACGCATCCATTCTGAAGGAAATCAGCCCTGAGTGCTCACTGGAAGGACAGATCGTGAAGCTGAGGCTCCAGTACTTTGGCCACCTCATGAGAAGAGAAGACTCCCTGGAAAAGACCCTGATGTTGGGAAAGATGGAGGGCACAAGGAGAAGGGGACGACAGAGGATGAGATGGTTGGACAGTGTTCTCAAAGCTACAAACATGAGCCTGACCAAACTGCGGGAGGCGGTGGAAGACAGGAGTGCCTGGCGTGCTCTGGTCCATGGGGTCACGAAGAGTCGGACACGACTAAACGACTAAACAACAAAAGTTGTATTCATTCAACTTGTTTTTATTATTGCTTGTTATAAGTTCAGCACAAACAGTTGGGCCTGGTGAGCATTTAAGGTCCCCAACCCTAATCTGCGGGTTGCCATCTGATTGGATTTTATTCTGATCCTGATCTGATTTGAGGTTGTATTTTAATTGATTGTCTGATTTTATGTTAATGTGTTATACATTTGATGTTAGCCGCCCTGAGCCCGGCCTTGGCTGGGGAGGGCAGGGTATAAATAAAAATTATTATTATTATTATTATTAATCTTATATGCTGCTTTATTACAAAAATCATGACTAGACCTCTGATCCTAAACTGAATAGTTATTTTCCCAACCACCCCTTCCAGAACCCACTGCTCTCAACTGACTCTCAACTGCCTCACATTCAAACTCCTTTTCAAATCCTCATCCAATCATCACTCACCACCAGAATTCCATACTCTCCCTTTCCCCCTCCCTCCCTCCTTGACATTCCCATAATAATTCTAATACTATTACCTTAATAACCCTATTACATTCTTTTTTATGTAAGTTTTTTAATTCAAAATTAAAACAAAACATATTATCCAAAAACATATCATCCTTGTTTTCCCCCCATCTTTCCTTCCTCCCCCCACAAAGCCCACCCCCGACTTCCCTCAGTTCCAGTCTTTGCTTTCTCTGAGACTGCTGTTTTCTGCATGTTACAAAGTGGTATAGCTCCTCAAACTATTTAGCTGATTATTATCAATAAGACGTTGGTGAATGTTTATTCAAAGCCTTGCTCCCTCCTCCCTGTCACAGCCCTTGAAGGTATTGACAGGGCTGCATTTTGTGGCTCTCATATCCATGTCCTGAGAGAGAGAGCAAAATGTTTCTCTCTCGCCTTTCTCCACCCCAGGCAGAATTGCAAGGGAGCAGTGCATCTGGCTGGGAAGAAGATGGTCGGAGTTTGGGGCTCAGCCAGGGCTGGCTGTGGGCAGGATCCTGGTGTAGCCTTTTCAGGCTTTGCCCTCGGGTGGGAAGAGCATTGCACCCGGGGAGAGGGAAATGGGAGTCAAACAGACACTCAAGGGATAATTTCAGAGAAAGAGCTTTATTTCTACCATCCGGGCTTGGTAGAAGGAGCTAGTGTGATAATTTCACAAACAGAAGACTGGAAGAAATTTAAAGACTACTTAAAGAAATATTGTAAAATTAATGAATGTTAGAAAGATGTTGGATAGAAACTAAGCGGTTTCCAGCTGTAATGCTTTAGGAGATATGAAAAAAAGGATTATAAATGGGTAAAAGTTTAATGGTAAGGATTTGCTGAACTAACAAACTGAAATGGAATACAAAGAAGGGAAGTATGAGGAGGTCGGAGGAAATAAGGGTATAGAAGTTATGTTATTGAAAATTAATGTGTGTTTTTAACTGCTTGTTATTTTGTATGTTTATTTTTTTATTTTTTTCTTATATTCAAAAATTCTTTCAATAAATATCTTTTTTTAAAAAAAAAAAAAAGATAATTTCACAAACAAGCACAAGCACAGCCATTTGCACAGAGCATATCTTCCCCTCCAGTTCCCTCCCCCCTTTCCCTCCTCAGGAGCCCTGCCCCATGATGAGTTTCCTGAGCATGAACAGAAAGCTCCTGTCTTTGGGACTCTTCCCAGGAAAGGGGGATGAGAAGCCAAGGGGGTTGAGGAGCCTTGCGTTTCAGCGTGTCCAAGATGTGTTGCAACCGAATGAGATAAGAGTCAGTTCCCAGGCCTGCTTATTCTTAGCATTGATAGAGTCTATTCATTAGCCTTTTTGAAGCTCTCTCGTACTGATAAAAGTAACATTTTGCCTATGCAGCGGCATCTTGTGAGAAAGCAGAGAAGAGCAGAGCAGAAATACTGTAAAATTAATGAATGTTAAAATGATGTTGGACTGAAAAGAAGTGGTTTTGGTAACAAGGTTAATAAGAATAGGTAAATATAGATAGTTATACGGATGAAAATGTATAGTTATAATAGGTTAAGTATAGAGCAAAGTCAAATGAAAGAGGGTAAGGATTTGCTGAAAAGACTTGGAAAACGGGAATACAAAAGGGGAGGTGTGAGGAGGTCAAGGAAATAAGCAAATGAGATCAAAGATGCTGAAAAATGGATTTATCCTTTTTTAAAATATATTTTTTTCCTTCTTTTTTCTATTTCCTTTTTTCTTTCTTTCTAGGTTGCCTTTTGTCAACTTTCTTGTTAGCTTGTGTTTGTTAGTTTTTGTTAGTTTTTTCTTTATGTGTAATTTTTTGTATAATCTCAATAAATATTCTTTAAAAAAAACAGAGAAGAGCAGAGAAAAGCTAAAGCTGTGGTTTTTTAGAAGAGAGAAAGGGGAAATTTGGTTTTGAGGCCTAGGGTGACTTCGGGCCTAGGTGGGGCACCTGTCTTCACCTCCTTCATTGGCATTGCCCGGGGTTGGACTAGATGACCCTTGGGGTCCCTTCCAACTCCACCCTACTATGATTCTATCAAGCAGCTAAAGGAACAGGCAGAGGGGCAAGACGTAGAACCAGGGGAGGCACAAGCACACATCCCAACAGCACCCTCTGGCCTGACCCACTGTGGCCGCATCCCAGCACACTTTGTTTTGTTTTGTTTTTTTTAAGATATTTATTAAAGTTTCAACATATTATAAAACTAAGAGAAAAAAGTAAAAGGAAAGGGGAAAAAACCAAAATGAAAATACAAAGTAAAAACAGTTAAAAACAAATCAGTCTTTCCATATCTTATCTTTCATTTGCTTGTTTCCCTGACCTCCTCACACCTCCCTTTTTTGTATTCCAGTTCAATTAGTTAATTCAGCAAATCCTTTCCCTCTTTGATTTTATCTTAATCTTTTATCTTAATATATTATAACTTTAGGTTATCACCTGTTAACAATCCATTTTTACATATTCCTTTATAATAATGCTGCTAAAAACCACTTAACTTCAATCCAACATCATTCTAACATTCATTAATTTTGCAATATTTCTGTAAATAATCTTTAAATTTCTTCCAATCTTCTTCCACCGACTCTTCTCCCTGGTCTCGGATCCTGCCAGTCATTTCCGCCAGTTCCATGTAGTCCATCACCTTCACCTGCCACATCCCAGCACACTTTGACCCCCCTGATTTTATTTTTCTTAATGCAGCTGCCTGACAGCCCAGCAGGCTGGCCCCTGTTTCCAAGCTGATGTCACAAAGTGTTGTTTTGCAAGCAAGGCGTCCTTCTGAAACATTTGAGAGTCGTGGGAACACTCTCCCCACCAGTGGCTTCCAGGAGCTTGCATCTTCCTTGAGAGAGGCAGGCCAGAACAAGGGGGAAATGCTCCAACTTCAGGCAAGTGGAAATGCCAATTGAGTGCCCCATATTATAGGAATGCTTCCTTCCCGTGTCCCCACCCTCATGCGCCGGACTGCTGGGAGCATGGCTGGGAGCCAGGCACCTGCTAATGTCTTCATGAAAATGGCCTCCCAATTTTTCTCACAGGCCCATATAAGTTCAGCACAAACAGTTGGGCCTGGTGAGCGTTTAAGGTCCCCAACCCTAATCTGCGGGTTGCCATCTGATTGGATTTTATTCTGATCCTGATCTGATTTGAGGATGTATTTTAATTGATTGTCTGATTTTATGTTAATGTGTTATATATTTGATGTTAGCCGCTCTGAGCCCGGCTTTGGCTGGGGAGGGCGGGATATAAATAAAATTTATTATTATTATTATTATTATTATTCATTTTCTTTGCAGTGAGGGAACCTTTCCCCTTTGTTCTGGTGAAATCCCTGGAGAGATGTGAGGACCCTCAGGTACTGGGGCAGAGGGAAAGAAGGGGTCCTTGTGAAATACCTTTTGGGGTTCATAGGAACACTTTCTCTACCTGTGGCTTCCAGGAAGTGCTTTTCAGAAGCATTCTGGACAGCTTAGAGGGGCTGGGAGCTGGGGGCACTGTTATACAGTGGTTCCGCTCCTTCCTCCTGGGCCGTGTTCAGAAAGTGGTGGGGGGGGATGAGTGTTCAGACCCCTGGGCTCTCACTTATGGGGTGCCTCAGGGTTCTGTCCTCTCCCCCATGCTTTTCAACATCTACATGCAACCGCTAGGAGAGATCATCAGGGGGTTTGGGCTGGGTGTTCATCAGTATGCGGATGATACCCAGCTCTACCTCTCTTTCAAATCGGAACCAGTGAAGGTGATGAAGGTCCTGTGTGAGTGTCTAGAGGCGGTTGGAGGATGGATGGTGGCTAACAGATTGAGGTTGAATCCTGACAAAACAGAAGTACTGTTTTGGGGGGACCGGAGCATGTGTGGAGGACTCCCTGGTCCTGAATGGGGTAACTGTGCCCCTGAAGGACCAGGTGCGCAGCCTGGGAGTCATTCTGGACTTACAGCTGTCCATGGAGGCACAGGTCAATTCTGTGTCCAGGGCAGCTGTTTACCAGCTCCATCTGGTATGCAGGCTGAGACCCTACCTGCCCGCAGACTGTCTCACCAGAGTGGTGCATGCTCTGGTTATCTCTCGCTTGGACTACTGTAATGCGCTCTATGTGGGGCTACCTTTGAAGGTGACCCGGAAACTACAACTAATCCGGAATGTAGCAGCTAGACTGGTGACTTGGAGCAGCCGCCGAAACCATATAACACTGGTCTTGAAATACCTACACTGGCTCCCAGTACGTTTCCAAGCACAATTCAAAGTGTTGGTGCTGACCTTTAAAGCCCTAAATGGCCTCGGTCCAGTATACCTGAAGGAGCGTCTCCACCTCCATCGTTCTACCCGGACACTGAGGTCCAGCACCGAGGGCCTTCTGGCGGTTCCCTCACTACGAGAAACCAAGTTACAGGGAACCAGGCAGAGGGCCTTCTCGGTAGTGGCACCCACCCTGTGGAACGCCCTCCCACCAGATGTCAAAGAGAAAATAACTACCAAACTTTTAAAAGACATTTGAAGGCAGCCCTGTTTAGGGAAGCTTTTAATGTTTAATAGGTTATTGTATTTTAGTGTTTTGTTGGAAGCTGCCCAGAGTGGCTGGGGAAACCGAGCCAGATGGGCGGGATATAAATTTAGATAGATAGATAGATAGATAGATAGATAGATAGATAGATAGATATAATTGTTATTGTTATTGTTATTATTGCTCCCTCCAACCAGGGACGCTGAGCATAGCCATCATGGCTAGTTGCCTTGGATAGGCCTCTCCACCATGTTGAAAGCCACCTCATCCAAGATGCTCTTGTGGCGCATCTGATTCTCCTAGGCCTCCTTATTCCTGCAATGAGTCAGCTCTTGTGAGATCAGCTGTATGATCTTGATCTCTCACCATACAAAGTTCTATCTGGTTCCCAATTACTTGACAACTGCAGAAAGTCAACAACTTCGGTGCATCGAACTTGCCCCTTCCTTCACAGCGCCACGCTTCCAGGGGTGCTTTTCGGTTTCCAGCTCCCAAGTTGATGGACAAAGCAGAAGGAAACACTCTGCGCGGTTTCCGGCTGCTGTTTCTGCATCCCAGTGCAGCCCATCCAAGGCGCTGATGGAAGGCATGCAGAAACAGCTTGCTCCTCGTGCCTCTTCTCCAGCATCCCTTCTCTGTGTGGGCATGGCTCCATCTCGGCCTTTGGCTGCCAGATCTTTGGTCCAGAAGCAACAGCCAAAGCTTCCTCCGATTAAGACTGCTGCTCAGCTAATTTCTGAGAAAGAGAAGACTTTGGCTGCTGCTTCTAAGCTAGGCTGGCCGGGACAGAGATGACAATACAACAAAACAACAACACCACAAACTGGCTTATAAGTATAAAACCAAATTTACTAGAATAATAGCTAGAATAGAGGTAGACTTGTAACCATTCAAACAACAAACATACTGAAATAAGAAAAAGTTTTTCAAAGCTGTTTTTCAACGATTGAACTGGATGAGATGTTCTTCAATGGGTCTTGAGTTGGAAACACAAAGCTGTATGCATGGATCAGTCACGGGAAGGCAAATCAAAGCCACCACCCTGGTGAGAATAACGCAAGTGAGCCAAAGGAGACCTGTTATCCAGATATATTACAGGTTTGCTGTGATTTCATATTCTCCAGTGTGATACCCTTACCGTTGTGGCGGCACGGGATTGCCGTTTTGTGATTGGACTTACACTACTCGTTGAACGGTTCATTTATCCAGTCTGTATAACGTTTACGGCACATGTAACTTGTTAAGATAGAGTTGTACATTTATTCACTCCATGTTTACAGTATCTCCAGGCTTTGTCTTGCACATGGCACCTTAGTATGTTTGTTGTTTGAATGGTTACAAGTCTATCTCTAGTCTAGCTATCATTCTAGTTAACTTGGTTTTATACTTATAAGCCAGGACACAGGTGGCACTGTGGATTAAACCACAGAGCCTAGGACTTGCTGATCAGAAGGTCGGCGGTTCAAATCCCCGCTCCGGCGGGAAGGTAAACGGCGTTTCCGAGCGCTGCTCTGGTTCGCCAGAAGTGGCTTAGTCATGCTGGCCACGTGACCCGGAAGCTGTACGTCGGCTCCCTCGGCCTATAGAGCGAGATGAGCGCCGCAACCCCAGAGTCGGTCACGACTGGACCTAATGGTCAGGGGTCCCTTTATACTTATAAGCCAGTTTGTGGTGGTGTTGTTTTGTTGTATTATTATTACTGTCACCACATTTGATAGTTTGTGTATATACAGGACAGAGATGAGACACTCATACAGAAGGCCAAGTGGGGAAAGCGTGTAAGATCAGGTAGGAGGAAATGGCCCCTTCCCAGATCCCCCACCCTCCTGGTCCAGACTGGGGCTAGTGTGGCTGGGAGCCAGATGCCTGCTGATGTCTCCGTTTGTTTTGCAGTGAGGGAAAGATTCAGCCTGGAAGCCATTGCATCCTGGGAGGGACTGGAGCCCAGATGAAGGACTGTTGCCCCAGAGGTAATGGAATGGGGGAAGGAGGGGGCAGGGGCGAAGGAAGGCTAACCAGCACCGGTGGGGAGGAGCGGGGGAGGGGCAAACTGCCCGGTGGTGCATGCGTGACACCGCTACGTATGGCAGATGCGCAGCACCACTACATACGGAGCACACACATGCACCGTACGTAATGGTGCCACGCATGCACCGCTGGCCAGTTTGCCGACATAACTGTTCTGGCACCGTACGGAAAGCGGTGGGATCCTCCGCTCATGGCTGCAGCCGCAGTGGCAGGAATCCTCCGCACACAGCTGTGATGGCGCAATGGTGGCGGCTCGTGCCGTCGCGCCTGGTGGTTGTGGAATGAGCCCCCTGCAGGGTGGCTTCTTGTCACCCCCCTCAGAGATGGCACCTGGGGCGCACCACCATCCCCGCTCATCCTTCCTCTGCCACTGGGAGGGGGGGGGCTTAGGAAACACACAAGAAGGGCCTACAGGATCAGGTCAAGGGCCCATGTGGTCCAGCCTCCTCTTCTCCCGGGGCCACCCAGATGCCACTGGGAAAGCCACAGACAGGATCCAAGCCCAAGAGCCCTCTGCCCACCTGCGACTTCCTGCAACAGCTTTTCTGAAGCATTGTTGTCTCCATCAGGACTAGTAGTCTTTCACCGCCTCTTCCTTCAGTCAGTCGCCTAATCCGCTTTTAAAGCCATGCAGTCAGAGATGCTCTTCTGCTGCATCTCCTGGTCATCTGATGGTTCCTGCCAAAAGGCGCCTTTTGTGAGCTCCTCTGTAGGATCTGCTTTCAGTCCCTGGGGTGGGTGTGAGAGCTGGATGGGGGGCTGAGGGGACATTCTATCCCTGGCGTTCAGTCTGTGACAGACCTTACACATGTTCAGGGATTCTTCCCTCAAAATAGCGCTTAGCGTCGAGTTCTCCCTTGCTTCAAAGATCCCTTCTTTCTTGCAGGATCTCCTTTGTGCACTGCTGTGGCTGCTGCCGAAGTCTCCCTCAAAAAGAACAGGTAAGAGGAAGGGAAGCTTTGCATGGGATGGGGAGAACACCCTACAGGGGTCAGCAAACTTTTTCAGCAGGGTGCCAGTCCACTGTCCCTCAGACCTTGTGGGGGGCTGGACTAGATTTTGGAAGAAAAAAAAATGAACAAATTCCTATGTCTCACCACTAACCCAGAGATGCATTTTAAATAAAAGCACACATTCTACTCATGTAAAAACACCAGGCAGGCCCCACAAATAACCTAGAGATGCATTTTAAATAAAAGGACACATTCTACTCATGTAAAAACACGCTGGTTCCCGGACCGTCCGCGGGCCAGATTGAGAAGGCAATTGGGCCGGATCCAGCCCCCGGGCCTTAGTTTGCCTACCCATGAAGTTGAGCGTACGTGTTCATGCTGTGGATGCGTTTCTGGGAAAAGTTGGACACTAATAAGACGGGTTTGGTAACTGGGGCCCTCCTACAGGTGATGCTGGACTACAACTCCCATGGTCCTTGACCATTGTCCTTTTTCTCCTGCTTTTCAGCCAGACTCCCAGGTGGGTGGTGTTAAAAGTAGAAATTCCCTTTAATATAGTCTGATTCCTTTAGAGAAATGGAACACCATACAGAGTGCATTTGACGAAACTTAGATTGTCATGTTGTAGACAGTGTATACAAAAGGATTGAGACAGATTCCTGTTTTTTCCTATGTTTACTGATGGCTATGTATTGTTTATTTTCTAATTTGCAGGAAGGCTTTGAGTGATGCCTGGGGCGGATCGATAAGAGAGGAAATGAAGACAGGATTTGGGGTGTTTTCCCTCTACTTTGCATATATAGGTGTGATTCAGGTAGGTCGCTGTGTTGGTCTGATGCAGTCAAAATATATTTTGAAAAATTTTAAAAATTGTGCAGTAGCACCTTAGAGACCAACTAAGTTTGTTCTTGGTATAAGCTTTTGTGTGCATGCACACTTATGTGTAGCCTTGCTTTTGAATCCCTCCCATGTCCCTTGCCCTCATGCCTGCAGGTGTCTTCGTTTGCTTTGCAGTGAGAGAAAGCAGCAGCCTGGGAACCACCTCCCGGAAGGGAATGGAGCCCAGGAAAAGGACAGATGAGTCACAGGTACAGGGGCAGGGGGAAGGAGGTGTTATGAAACGCCTAAGAACGCACTGCTGGATCAGACCAAGGGCCTAACTTCTCCAGCATTCTCTTCTCCCAGGGGTCACCCAGATGCCTGTGAGATTATTCCTACAAAAAGGCGGCTCTTGTGAGCTCCGCAGTGGGATCTGCTTTCAGTCCCTGGGGTGGGTGTGACAGCTGAACGTGTCCCAGGTGATGTACTGTCCCTGGCGTTCGGTCTGTGGCAGCCCATTCACATGGTCAGGGATTCTTCCCTCGAACCGGCCCTTAGTTTAGAGTTCTCCTATGCTTCAAGAATACCTTCTTCCTTCCAGGATCTCCTATATGCACCACTGTGGCTGCTGCCAAAAGAAAAAAGGCCCTGAGTCAGGCACATACAGAAGACCAAGGCGGACTTCCGGTTTTCGTCGCAAAGGGAAGAGGGTCGAGATGTGTGCCAGAGCCTCCTACTGAAGCCACTCATGTAAAAAGAACAGGTAAGAGGAGGAAGCGACACAGGTGGCGCTGTGATCTAAACCACAGAGCCTAGGGCTTGCCAATCAGAAGGTCGGCAGTTCGAATCCCCGCGACGGGGTGAGCTCCCGTTGCTCGGTCCTTGCTCCTTCCAACCTAGCAGTTCGAAAGCACGTCAAAGTGCAAGTAGATAAATAGGTACCACTCCGGCGGGAAGGTAAACGGCGTTTCCGTGTGCTGCTCTGGTTCGCCAGAAGCGGCTTAGTCATGCTGGCCACATGACCCGGAAGCTGTACACTGGCTCCCTTGGCCAATAAAGCGAGATGAGCGCCGCAACCCCAGAGTCAACCGCAACTGGACCTAATGGTCAGGGGTCCCTTTACCTTTAAGACAAAGGAAGATTTGCGTGGGGTGGTGAGAATTATTACCAATACATCCACCATAGGAGTTATGCTGTCGCCAAGAAAAGGGCCGTAACACCTGCTCCACCTCATTCCCTGCTTGACTGGGAGGGCTACGGACCCAAAGAGTCTGCAGCACCATGGGGAGATCTGCTGCACCAAAATTTTCTAGGCGGTGGTGACACCTTGATCTCAGGCAGCGAAGGGGAATAGAAAATTTGCATGGGGCGAGGAGAACACCCTACAAGTTGAGCGTACGTGTTCATTCCATAGAGGCATTTCTGAAAAAAAGGCTGACATCATCAACAACAACAACAACAACAATAATAATAATAATAATAATAAATTTTATTTATACCCCGCCCTCCCTGGCTAGAGCCGGACTCAGGGCTGCTAACACCAGTAAAATTACAGTAAAACATAATGGGGGGGGGAGACCAATTTAAAATACAGGTTAAAATGCAATTTAAAATGCAGCCTCATTTTAAAAGTAGCCCATATATCAAAACCATAAGGGGAGGGAATCATAAGGGTCAGACTGAGTCCAAACCAAAGGCCAGGCAGAACAGCTCTGTCTTGCAGGCCCTGCGGAAAGATGTCAAGTCCTGCAGGTCCCTAGTGTCTTGAGACAGAGCGTTCCACAAAGTCGGGGCCAGTACTGAAAAGGCCCTGGCCCTAGCTGAGACCAATCTAACCACCTTGCGGCTTGGGACCTCCAAAGTGTTGTTATTTGTGGGCCTTAAGGTCCTCCACGGAACATACCAGGAGAGGCGGTCCCGTAGGTACAAGGGTCCTAGGCCGCATAGGGCTTTAAAGGTCAAAACCAGCACCTGAAACCTGACCCTGTACTCCACCGGGAGCCAGTGCAGCTGGTAAAGCACTGGATGAATGTGCTCCCGCGGCAAGGATCCCGTAAGGAGCCTCGCCGCGGCATTCTGCACCCGCTGGAGTTTCTGGGTCAGCTTCAAGGGCAGCCCCACATAGAGCGAGTTACAATAATCAAGCCTGGAGGTGACTGTCGCATAGATCACTGTGGCCAGATCAGGGCGAGAAAGGTAAGGGACCAACTGCTTAATACGGCGGAGATGGAAAAATGCCACCTTTGCTGTGGCTGCAACCTGTGCCTCCATGGAAAGGGAGGAGTCGAAGGTTACACCCAAGCTCGGGTTTGGGAACTTGGGGCCCTCCTACAGGCAATGTTCGACTACAACTCCCATTGTCCTTGACCATTGTCCTTTTTCTCCTTTTCAGCCAAACAACCAGGTGGCCACGCTGCTGGCTGAAGTTCTGGCACCTTCCAAACCAAGGCTCAGTCTTAGAACCAGTTTCTTTTGTTTGTTTGTTTGTTTGTTTCTTTGTTTGAAATAATTTTCAATAAACATTTTCTTGGTTTACGAAAGCATGTTCATTGTCTCTTTTTTCAAGTCATGTTTTCTACAAATCGATGTTCAGCGTTTGTGCGTGGGGCTTTCCATCTTCGGCACTCACAGACTGAACAAAATTGCAATGTATCTCAACAGAATTAGAATGTTATGCAAAAGGGGGGCTACGTTTCCCAGCACAATTCAAAGTGTTGGTGCTGACCTTTAAAGCCCTAAACGGCCTCGGTCCAGTATACCTGAAGGAGCATCTGCACCTCCATCATTCAGCCCGGACACTGAGGTCCAGCGCTGAGGGCTTTCTGGCGGTCCCCTCACAGCGAGAAGCAAAGCTAGAGGGAACCAGGCAGAAGGCCTTCTCTGTAGTGGCGCCTGTGGAACGCCCTCCCATCAGATGTCAAAGAGATAAACAACTACCTGACATTTAGAAGACATCTGAAGGCAGCCCTGTTCAGGGAAGTTTTTAATGTGCGACATTTTAATGTATTTTAATCTTTGTTGGAAGCTGCCCAGAGTGGCTGGGGGGACCCACCCAGATGAGTGGGGTACAAATAAATTATTATTATTATTATTATTATTATTATTATTATTATTATTATTATTTCTCCACCGCAGGAGGGCCCTGCCTCTGCTGTCTCGCTTTCCCCTGCGCTGCTTCTGGGCTGCTCTGTGCCACGCAGGAGAAGGAGGCAGGTGGCTGTGGGAAGGCAGCAGACTGAGGATGGGAGGAAGCTGGAAAGGCAGACAGGAGTGGGGGGGTGAGGAAATTGTGGGGGATGTGCCCCAAAAGAAAATCACAGGGGGAAAAGTTATTCTTTGAAAAAATCCCTACGTCACAATTACAGCAAAAATCAGACTTATGGGAATTCAGTCAAATATGGTGCCAAACGGTCGCAAATGCTCCCCTGAAAGGTTTGGCAGTTGAAACTGAAGGCTTTTTATCACAGGACAAGAAATCAGACGTCGACAACTTAACAGGCGGAAAAAGACTTTTTTGAAAAAATCCCTATGCCCCACAAAAATCTGACTTTTGACAATTCACTCAGAAATGGTGCCAACTGCTTGCAAATGCTCCCCTGAAAGGTTTGGCAGTCGAAACAGAAGGCTTTTTATCACAGGAAAAGAAATCAGCCCTCAGCAACTTAACCGGCGAAAAATCTTTTTTTGAAAAAATTCCTAACAATTTCAGGAAAAATCTGACTTTTGGCAATTCACTCAAAAATGGTGCCAAACACTTGAAAATGCTCCCCTGAAAGGTTTGGCAGTCAAAACAAAAGACTTTTTATCACAGGAAAAGAAATCAGCCCTCAGCAACTTAACCGGCAAAGTATTTTTTTCTGGAAAAAATCCCTGAGCGGTTGCCGAACGGTTGCAAATGCTCCCCTAAACCCTTTGGCGATGGACACAGAAGGCTTTTTATCACAGGAGAAAAAATCAGCCCTCGACAACTTCAACGACGGAAAAAGATTTTTTTGAAAAAATCCCTAAGCCACAATTTCAGCAAAAACCTGACTTTTGACAATTCACTCAAATATGGTGCCAACCGGTTGCAAATGCTCCCCTGAAAAGTTTGGCGGTTGAAACAGAAGGCTTTTTATCACAGGACAAGAAATCAGCCCTCAACAATTTTACCTGCGGAAAAAGATTTTTTTGAAAAAATCCCTAAGCCCCGGGGTCACAATTTCAGGAAAAATTTGACTTTGGGCAATTCACTCAAAAATGGTTCCAAAAACTTGCAAATCCTCCCCTGAAAGGTTTGGCAGTCGAAACAGAAGGCTTTTTATCACAAGACAAGAAATCAGCGCTCAGCAACTTAACCGGTGGAAAAAGATTTTTTTGAAAAAATCCCTAAGCCGCGGGGGTCACAATTTCAGCAAAAATCTGACTTTTGACAATTCAGTCAAATAAGGTGCCGAACGGTTGCAAATGCTCCCCTGAAAGGTTTGGCAGTCGAAACAGAAAGCTTTTTATCACAGGAAAAGAAATCAGCCCTCAGCAACTTAACCGGCGATTTTTTATTTTTTTTTTTTGAAAAATCCCTAAGCCCTGGGGTCACGTTTTCAGCAAAAATCTGACTTTTGGCAATTCACTCAAATATGGTGCCGAACGGTCGCAAATGCTCCCCTGAAAGTTTTGGCGATCGAAACTGAAGGCTTTTTATCACAGGACAAGAAATCAGCCCTCAACAATTTTACCGGCTGAAAAAAATTTTTTTGAACAAAATCCCTAAACCCTGGGGTCACAATTTTAGCAAAAATCTGACTTTTGGCAATTCACTAAAATATGGTGTCGAACAGTTGCAACTGCTCCACTGAAAAGTTTGGTGGTCGAAACAGAAGGCTTTTTATCACAGAAAAAGAAATCAGCCCTCAGCAGATTAACCGGCGAATTTTTTTTTTAAAAAAAAAAAAACGGTCGCAAATGCTCCCCTGAAAGGTTTGGCGGTCAAAACTGAAGGCTTTTTATCACAGGACAAGAAATCAGGGCTCAACAATTTATCCGGCAGAAAAAGGGGTTTTTTTTGAAAAAATCCCTAAGGTCACAATTTCAGCAAAAATCTGACTTTTGGAAATTGAGTCAAATATGGTGCCAAACACTTGAAAATGCTCCCCTGAAAGGTTTGGCAGTAGAAACAGAAGGCTTTTTATCACAGGAAAAGAAATCAGCCCTCAGCAACTTAACCGGTGAATATTTTTTTTTTTTTGGAAAAAATCCCTGAACAGTTGCCGAACGGTTGCAAATGCTCCCCTAAACGCTTTGGCGATGAACAAAGAAGGCTTTTTATCACAGGAGAAGAAATCAGCCATTGAAAACCTAACCGGTGGGAAAAGATTTTTTTGAAAAAATCCCTAAGCCTCGGGTGTCACAAGTTCAGCAAAAATCTGACTTTTGACAATTCAGTCAAATACGGTGCCGAACGGTCGCAAATGCTCCCCTAAACTCTTTGGCGATGGAAACAGAAGGCTTTTTATCACAGGAGAAGAAATCAGCCCTCAACAATTTTGCCGGCGGAAAAATATTTTTTTGAAAAAATCCCTAAGCCCCGGGGTCACAATTTCAGCAAAAATCTGACTTTTGGCAATTCACTCAGAAATGGTGCCAAACACTTGCAAATGCTCCCCTGAAAGGTTTGGCACTCGAAACAGAAGGCTTTTTATCACAGGAAAAGAAATCAGACCTCAGCAACTTAACCGCCGAATTTTTTTTATTTTTTTTGAAAAATCCCTAAATCCCGGGGTCACAATTTCAGCAAAAATCTGACTTTTGGCAATTCACTCAAAAATGGTGCCGACTGCTTGCAAATGCTCCCCTGAAAGCTTTGGCAGTCGAAACAGAAGGCTTTTTATCACAGGAAAAGAAATCAGCCCTCAGCAACTTAACGGGTGAATATTTTTTTTTTTTTGGAAAAAATCCCTGAACGGTTGCCGAACGGTTGCAAATGATCCCCTAAACGCTTTGGCGATGAACAGAGAAGGCTTTTTATCACAGGAGAAGAAATCAGCCCTCAGCAACTTAACCGGCGAAAAATATTTTTTTGAAAAAATCCCTAAGCCCCGGGGTCACAATTTCAGCAAAAATCTGACTTTTGGCAATTCACTCAAATATGGTGCCTATTGCTTGCAAATGCTCCCCTGAAAGGTTTGGCAGTCGAAACAGAAGGCTTTTTATCACAGGAAAAGAAATCAGCCCTCAGCAACTTAAACGGCGGAAACAGATTTTTTTTGAAAAAAATCCCTAAGCCCCAGGGTCACAATTTCAGCAAAAATCTGACTTTTGACAATTCACTCAAATATTGTGCCAACCGGTTGCAAATGCTCCCCTAAACGCTTTGGCGATGGAAACAGAAGGCTTTTTATCACAGGAGAAGAAATGAGCCCTTGACAACTTAAACGGCGGAAAAAGATATTTTTGAAAAAATCCCTATGCCCCACAAAAATCTGACTTTTGACAATTCACTCAAAAATGGTGCCAACTGCTTGCAAATGCTCCCTTGAAAGGTTTGGCAGTCGAAACAGAAGGCTTTTTATCACAGGGGGAAAAATCAGCCCTCAGCAACTTAACCGGCGAAAAATTTTTTTGGCAATTCACTCAAAAATGGTGCCAAACACTTGCAAATGCTCCGCTGAAAGGTTTGGCAGTCGAAACAGAAGGCTTTTTATCATGGGAAAAGAAATCAGCCCTCAGCAACTTAACCGGCGAAATTGTTTTTTTTAAAAAAATCGCTAAGCCCCGGGGTCACAATTTCAGCAAAAATCTGACTTTTGGCAATTCACTCAAAAATGGTGCCAACTGCTTGCAAATGCTCCCCTGAAAGATTTGGCAGTCGAAACAGAAGGCTTTTTATCACAGGAAAAGAAATCAGCCCTCAGCAACTTAACTGGGGAAATTTTTTTTTTTTTTTAAAAAAATCCCTAAGCCCCGGGGTCACAATTTCAGCAAAAATGTGACTTTTGGCAATTCACTCAAAAATGGTGCCAACTGCTTGCAAATGCTCCCCTGAAAGATTTGGCAGTCGAAACAGAAGGCTTTTTTTTTTAATATATATTTATTAAGGTTTTTCAATATAAAAGCATATTTAATAAAACAACGTTGATTATTTAACATCTTTTCATCATTACTTTGGACTCCCTCACACCTCCCCCACACACTTGCATCGTTATAAAATTATTTCCAAGCAAATTATCATTTTGGTCATAGTCTTTAGATTCAGTCATTAAAATATAGTTAAACTTAAATCTAGTTTAGTGATAGACAATTATTTCTGTTCTGGCATCCCTGTCAACATTCAGCCAAATTACAATATTTTTGTAAATAAGTCTTGAATTTCTTCCAGTCTTCTTCAACTCTCTCTTCTCCCAGGTCTCGAATTCTGCCGGTCATCTCTGCTAATTGCATATAGTCCATCAGCTGCATCTGCCATTCTTCCAGAGTGGGTAGATCTTGAGTCTTCCAATTCTTAGCGATCAGTATC